GCAGTGAATTCTTAGGAAGTGGGTGTGAGAATATGCTTACTGCAGAAAATCCCTCTTGTAAAATGCTACTTCTGGGGCCTTTTTTTTTCTGCTTCTGCGTATTCTTTGGAGGTCTGTCTGAGGCAATTATAACTGACTTCCCTATGTGTATCAAATATACATATATTGTGTGGGGAGAGCTCTAGAGCTGTGGAAAAAGCAAGCATCTTCATCTGCATAGCAATACTCTCACCTTAGCTGTTTTTTAATGAAGTGGATCACATCTCTGAAGGAAAGTAATCAGCTGTTGGCATGAGAAGGTTTATGTGCTAGGTCTTGAAGTGACCTGATTGCATCTAGTACTGCTTTGTAGGAAAATTTAAGTTGTTGGAACTATCTCTTCAGGGGTTTTTTTGATCCGAGGCAGGAGGACTTTAAAGGGTGCAGCCCTCTGAAGCCCAGGGCGTGCATGTCAAATGGTACTAGACTGCTGCTTAAGTGTGATTTTTCCAAGACTCTTGGGAGGTGGAGTGTTATTTAAGTATTTGTTTAGAAGAATGTGTAGTCCAGTCATACAGGAGAGACTCCTATTCCCTTCTACAGTGTTAGTATCTTTCTTGTTTGCTTTAGTTAAGCTCATAAGTTGACAATCAAAGTCTACAGAGAAATTAATGGCTGAGGAGAGAATTAGAAACCAAAGTTCAGCATGATCTTGCAATTTTGTTTTAAAGTGATTTGTAGCATGTTATAGTTAGGCAGACTTCAACAAGAATAACGAGCTTTCCTGTTAATGTGGAGAAAGGGACAATATGGTTGAGGATGCATATAAAAATAAGCAAAACTTGCATAAAATATAGTTCTTTAACTAAGTTCTACCGGTTTCCCTCGGTGTGGGTTGTGGATAACACTTGCTTAATTCTTTTGCCTTTTTTTTTGTAAAGCCTTTTGGGGAGAGGACTGCAAATACAATTAAAAGCAAGAACGTGATTTTTAGAATCAAAGTATTTTTGTCACTTATTAACTTTCCAGTGTGACCAATCTATTTTGCAATCACCGTTTTGCCATGTGTTTATATGCGTAGCAAGTGGAACCTTTCATGTCTCAGGAACTGTTGTAGCTCCATGCTGAAAATGCCTGAGAGTTACCAGAGCCTAGGTGGACTCTGTGACTGTAGAGATATCTTGGCTATTGCCAAATTGACAGATGCCAACCAAAGGGTCAACATATGTGGGGGAGAAATTGCACTCCTACCTTAAAAGTTCATATTCTTGGATTAGTATTAAGGCAGAATTTGGAGCAATGCAGCAAAGCTTGAGCTGAGCTTGGTTTGGGCACAGTGTGGCCCTGTGTGTCTTCTGTAAGGCTCAAACTCCCTTTGAATCCTCATCAAGGATGAAGGCTGGTGAGTCTCAGTCTAGACATCTGTGCCATATCAGCTTTAGAGTTGTATTTTGATGCCTAAGAGATGGGGGCATCTGTAAGGGTTAACTCAAGCTGTAAAGCACTGCCTAATTTTTACAGATGGTGTGAGTGCAAGAGTGAACCTCAGTCTGGCTTGGCAGTGCACAGAGATAACTTTACATAATTCCCTGCAGATGTTGTTGCAGAATGGTTTTAATAATGAATTGTGAAGTCGAGTTCAACCCCAGCATAGAAGGAGAACTCAAAATAAATGCAATGTTTTGTTCTGTGTTTGAAAAGCAAGTTTTCTAACATTTTTGTGATGCTCTGGGTTGGGAGAGGTGGCAGGGGAGGGAACAAGAGATAGTTTGCGCCATTATAGCCCTGGCTTTCTGCAAACAAAGGCCAGTCTGGCTGATTTGTCTGCAAACTGTGAACTGCCATGAACCTGGGAGGGGAGGGGGAAAGGGTACTGGGACCAAATGGCAGCTGCCTTAATGCTTCTAATGAGGGAATGGTGCAGAGCAGGTACTTCATGATCAGCTGGGCAGAGTTCTGCAGTTTGTGACTGTCAAGCACAAACTGTTTTGTGGAACTTGTCTGCGCTGCAGCCATTTTCTGGTAGGAGTTTGTCAATTCTTGCACTATGCTGTAATTTCCTTTCTGTAGTGTTACGGCTTAGATGAGCCATTATAATTCGGATTTTCACCTCATAAGGAGTGAGCTGTCTCTGCAGTGTCTGCTCAGCCACTCTAAGACCTTGAACGTCTTGTTTGTAAGCATCCTCCATTTTTGACTTCTTTGCTGCTGGGTGTTGCTGCTGGAAGTTTCTCAGGCTTCTCGGTTGTTCAGGCTGTTTAAGCAAAACATACTTTTTTTTCTGTGGACATGCTATCCACTGAGCTGCATTAAAGCCTTTTTTTTTTGCCCTTCTGAGGAGCAAGCTTGAAATGGGAGAAGATAATTTCAGGGCAGGGGCTGGTTTTCTCTGAACCTGGACAGATGCTGCTGACTTCTCAGTAGTTGAGGAGGTTTCTCATTTGTATATTTTACCCTTGCACATAGTTTATAAAGGAAATATTTAGGAAAAAAGTATAACTTTCACTAGCTCTATGGCAACTACGCGCTTTAATCTTTATGATGGCTTGAAGAATCAAAGCCGCTTAAAACCTCACTTAGACTGTTCCATGCTCTGTCTGCACGTTGCAATGGATTGGGTTGAGTTACTTGGCTGTAACCTAGCTCAAATATCACTTGCCCTCCAACTGGTGTGCAAGAGCCTGTTTGTAAGATAAGTGGAGTCATGAGGTCTCCCTGCTGAGGCCTTCCAGGGCTGGGGAACAGCAGTGGGGACGCACAGCGATATGGGGAAGGCACGTGTATGCGTGCCCAGGCATGGGGGTGAGGGGTTGCTTTTTAGCAGAGAGCTCTATTTGAGATGGCTGCAGGCTCTGCTACACTATGGCCCCAAACACAAGACGTTAAACTGGGCTCCGAGGCCACGATGCAGCTCAGTGAGCCAAACCAAAGGAGCTGTGTTGCGAAATGGGCTAGCACTCGGTTGGTGTCAAGGCTGTGCGATCCAGCCCTCCAAAGACAGTTTTACCATGGTTTGAATTTGGCCCAAGCACACGTTGTAAGTGTAGGCAAGTCCTTTTTGTGCAATTGTGTTTAATTTCTTTCTGAGGAAGAGTTTACATAAACTGTTCCAGTCTAATTGATATCAGCTGAAAGCCAGCTTCTGACATTTTGTCCCTAATCATAAGTGTATGTTAAACTGTGTTTGCTACCCATGTCAATACGTTGCTAGTAAAATAAGGAACAACCATGAAGATGTGTTTTTGAAACGGTCTGGCAGATCCTGCGTGTTCACTGCTGTGGGCTTCATGGCAGGAGAATCCACCTCCTGCTGAGGAGGGATAACTAAATTTAAACTTTCCAACCATGAGCCTTGTGAAGCAAAGTTTCCAAACCTCTGCTGGGCCAGAAAATGGAAAGCCATGTCTGAGTTTTGAGACTAAATAAATAGAGCTACCTAGCAGCTGTGCAGTGGCAAGTGAGGGGTTTGTTGCTTGGGGCACAGTCTGCCTGCTGCTGGCCCCAGGGAGGAGGACTAGCATTTGTAACTACTGTCCTCTGGTAAAATCTTCCGTGAGAGGATTTGGAACAAACTTGGGTGACTTTTAGCATGAACACTTGACCATTGTTTCAGTTGGTTCCTTTTTCTTTTTTTTTTCCTTTAAAGAAATGTGTGTGTCGCATGGCAGCAGAGCCCAGCGAAGCCTCCCTTCCCCTTGCTGGGCCCAGGGCTGCAGCCTCCTGGCTGTGGGGGGGCTGTGTGGCAGTCACACAGATGGGGGCTTTGCCCCACCATTAAGTTAACTGGCTTTTGTGCCCTGTCTATTTACAAACCAGGCTGGTCCATCCCTGCCTTTGCTCATCACAGGCAGGCTTGGGAGTCTGCTGTGAAATTTGTTGGTTTTGTGACAGCCGTTAAACTCTGTAAACCCTTCTGAGGTGCACGTAGAGAAATAGAAATTTTCTCGACTCACTTTGGGGAGGCTGAAGGACTGGTGTTGAACAATAGTGTGCGTTGTCCTGACAAAGCACCTTGCATTTTTGGAGGAGGCTGGGAGATTGTAGAAAACAACAGAAATGGTTTATTGCTTGTGTTTTCATTGTCCTGTATCTTAACCTGGGCCTTACGTGAATGGAGCAGAATCTAAGTTGTGCTCATACCTGAGAGCAGCAAGCTCTTGAGCGACTGAGTTTATATCAAAACCTGTGGAGCATTCTATAAATCAATGTAGCCAAGCAAGAAAATAGGCAAGGATCGTTATGGTTGGGATGCATTTAACCCAAAGATGGCTCACCTGTAATTTTATTCGTCCATCCATGGATGTGACCTAAAGGTTATATACATATAGTTGGTGAATACTTAATGTTTTGTAGGTAGTGGTAGAGACTTGGATGTTCAGGTGGGAAGGCAAATAAATGGTGCTTATGGCCTGAAGTCACATTTCATTTAGCTTTTCTCTCTTACTTCTGTTCTGTGCAGTACTTTCCAGCTTCCCAGGGCATTGAATTCAGGTCATGTTTGTTAAATACCAGCTGTGGGGACAAGTGCTCTAGAAGCACTTATTATTTTGTATCCTGTTCTGAAATCTGTGCCCTTCTACTAAAGTCTTTCCTACTTCCATCTTTTGACTTCTGTGATACTTCATACTAGGATTTGGGCAACATTTGTGCTATTTCCCATACATTCATATACACATATATATTCATAAAAAGTGATTTGATACTGTAGATGTGCATGTTGCAAGACTTGCTTTGGCAAACTGAATTGGAGAACTCAAATCAGAGTTGTCACAGATAGACTTCAGATTAAACTGTTTTCTCCATTATAGCCTTTTTTACATGAGGCCTCCCTGCACACTTGTTCACCGCTGTAAGAGTATCTGATAGGGTATAATAGAACTAACCCCCCTCTCCTTCTAGGAGACTGCAGAATAACTCAAACCTGCACTGAAGCTGCTGACTCTGCTACCCTCTGAGTAGCATCTTGCTATTCTTCTTCCTCTTAATGTTGACTGAGCAACTTATTTTGCTTCTTTTTGTAGGTTGGTGGTTTGTGAGCACAGCAGAGGAGCAGGGCTGGGTCCCTGCTACGTACCTGGAATCCCAAAATGGAACCAGAGATGACTCTGACATCAACCCATCCAAACTTGGGGAAGGTATGGAAATCTTTTTGTTATAAAAGGGAGAGTGGTGTTCACTTGCTGTGTGCTTTTCTCCCCATAGGAAAACTTTGAAAAACCTTGCTGCCACTTGTGGCTGTTAATCCAGTGCAGTAACCTCTTCTCCCATCTTGTATCAGTAAATAAATTGGTGCAGAAGACATTGGAGTGAAGTACCATGCCTGTAACCACTATGTGACCAGGTTGGGCAGTCAATGTGACGAAAGGTTCAAAAGCTGAAATGATGCTTATTTTAATACGCTTAGAAAGCACACAGTTTATGTGCAAGTCCAAGCAGTAAGTTCTGGTAGAACTCTCGGACCCTTTGTGGAAGGAGAGAACTTGCATGGCTTGTTTGCAGAAATTATACAAGTGAGAACCTTTAATTGGAAGAAGATGCTTGTTAGAGCCACAGGCCATTAAAAGGAGTGAGATTTACTTTTAATGGTTGCTTCTCATCACAATTTGCATCTTGTTACAATATTTTTAATTAATTCTTGAAACTAGTTTCAGTGCTGTTTGCTGTGGTCTGTGATTGTGTGTAAAGGTAATTTTATTTGGTATGGTCTCATTCTGTTAAAACTGAGATGCCATTTGTCATGTCTATGTATTTAGCTGCGCTGGTTTTTGGCTAAGGATGCTTAATTCAGGCTCCAGAAATGGAATAGTACAACCTCACATGTTCCTCTGTTCCATTATGAAAGACTAACCACATCTTAATGGACTTCTCATGTAGCAACTGTGTACAAAGGACACTTTTATTATTATTTTCTCCATTCTAATGAATCTCATGCTAAATTTCTAAGTGCTCTTGATGTGACATTTACATAAAATGTATGTGGAAATTCAGCTAACCTTTCCTTAGCACAGGTAGCAGGCTTAGAGAGGTGTTGGGGAGACCATCTGCCCATTAAGATAGCACACAGGCAAAACATAACTTTGTGCTGGGCCCCAGGGGTGACATATGTGGCTTTTTGAAATCTTTGCCTCTGTAAATCATTTTTCCCCTGCTCAAAGCTACCCATATCCTGGGTCACTTAGGGTTTAGAGACAGACTGGCTGTTGACTGGTAGGCCAGGAACCGGTCTGGTATGATGCAATGTCTTAGCAGATGCAAAAGCAGTTAGTAAAGCTTCCCTGTTAGTAAAGAACAAAATCTTACTGCTTTTTTCTGAAAGAGTTGAAGAATGCCTCGTCTGTTAGTCTGTATCTTTGTCCCTTTTCCTGACTCTTAAATATGGTGCATGTTTGATAGCCTTATTTCTTAAACTGCTTTCATTTCAAGCTGTCCTTCGCCTTTCATGTTGCCCTCTGGAGTGTACTCTGCACAGGGCTGTTGCCCGACAGCAGTTATTCCTGGGTAATGGAAAATCCATCAAATGTTCCTTATCTTTTCTCCCCGGGTCCCCTTTAATCCATCACACTGCTCTCCTCAGCTATGGTCAGCAGTTGCGCTCCCTGCCTTACTCCAAATCCAGATGCGCTGAAACCTGAGACTGTTCTTCCCTTTCTGTTCAGTTCCATCTCAGTGACAAATCTAATTGCATTACCTCTGCAGCTGCTTTGATGTGTCTCAGCTTTCGCTTGCTTTTCAGTAACTTTGGTTTATGTTATTAACCATATAAGCTGAGACTTTTTGTTCTTTGCTTTTCCTCCCTCCAGTTCTTTTCCTTGAGCTATTCTTCTCCTAATAGTTATTCCATAGGAGAGGAAAGAACAGCTCAGATTCAGTCTCTTAAATAAAAGTGTATAAAAGAGAACAGACTTCCACAGACAACTTGCCAACTCTCTCTCAGTAGGCAGGAGAAAGGGGCTCCAATATAACTGAGGATGAAGGCACTTTAAATGGATTAAGTGCCCTAGCCCCTGGATTTAGAATTCATACACCTTTCAGAGTGACTCCTGGAGATGCTGACTTCCTGCATCTGTGCAATCTGTGCTCTGCTTCCTTTGAAAAGCTAGAAACACCGATGTAGGGAGCTTTCTATATCAGCCTTTTGGCCCTTTCCATTTGCAGAGGGCCTTGAACAAGTCCACAAGCCAGGGAGGCCCAGAGGTCTGCTTTGCTGTGGCCAGCCCTTGTAAAGATAAGGAGGTGCCGAATGCAGCTTATTAATCCTGCTGCCTCTCTACATAGCAGTTATATTTCCATGTGTCTCTTTAAATAGTCTGTTCCCTGAGTCTGAGTCTGCACAGCATCTTTTGTCAGGGTGAGGGTAGACAGTTGACTGCTAACTGGGCCTGTGTTTAGACCAACACCATCTTACAAGGCTTGGAAAACATTCAGAAAGTAATCTAAAGAAACATTTGCAGCCCCAGGAGCTGTTAAAGTAAACATCTTAAAATGGTCTCTGGAAAGGTTTAGACACTTTTTGATAAATAACCTTTCTGGTGACTAATTGTGGCATGACCAACCAAGTCCAAGTTTGGGATCAAATGGCAAGATTCAGTATTGTTGAGCAGGAAAAAAAATTACCCATATAAAAGTATCATGGTGATACAAAAGGGCTATCAGTGGGGATGGTCATACGTTGTGAGGAGGATACGGTGTGGAGGATCTGTGTGACCCACTGTGTTCAAGGGGATAGCTGGATCCTCTGAACTCCCAAGGTGAGCAAGGAGCTGTGGGTGACTGCTCTGTGTTGGCACCTGAAGAAAACTTCTCCCCTTCCACACCTCTCCTTCCCACAAGCCTTTAACATCCTTCATCTCTCTCCTTCTTGTAAAGAAACCTCCTAATGCAGACAGCCTTACTATGAATTTATCTTTAGCTTCTCTCTCCACTATAGTCTGTATGTCTAGTGAGGTGTCCTGTGTTGCCTCTTGTGCACTGTGTGTGTGTAACTGGCAGTCCAATGTCCTATTGATTAGAGAAGGGCACCAAGTTAAACCAATTGGTAAGAAAAACACTGCCAGTAAGGAGTGAAGACGGCTCATCTTCTGTGGCACCATGTGCTTCCAAGAAGATCACTGAGCTCCTCTAGCCAAAACCACAGCAATCTATAAACTTGAAATCCAGCTCCTCAGAAATTTTTTGTGGTTCTTCTCTTCTTTGACCCACATGAGATCAAAGGGGAGGTACAGAGTACAGCAAACTAGACATTGTGTGCGTTCAACACCACTTGCCACAGGTCCACTTATGCTGATCAGGGAAGTCTTAGTCCCTACAGCAATGCAGAAATCAAGGAGAATGAGCTGGGTGCCGAAGTCTGGTCTAAGCCCCTGACAGTTACAAAGGGCAAAAAGGCAAAAGCCGCTTTTGGGGGAAGTTATTAATTTTTTTCACTTGTTCAGCTAATCATTCTCCAATCAAATAATTTTGCTGTGCCTAATTGTCTACAGAACATAGTTCTAGAAGACAGTGGTGTCTGCTCTCATTAGTATAAGGGTATATTCCCCAAATGAGTGCACATAAACAGACCTGAGTGATTATTAGTGGTGTGATACCAGACTTGTATGAACAGCTTCCCAGGATCACTAACAAAACAGTTGTGTTTGCACCCTAGCAATAGCTGAAGTGTAATACTTTGCTTTGCTTTCTGGCAGCACCAAGCACCCTTGCAGTAGTTTCCAAACTAACATGGAAGTCCTTGTATGGAAAAAGGGAAGTGTTTGTCTGTGTCTGTGCCAGTCCAGTGCTTCCTGTGTCATTCACACCTTCACAAGAAGAAGGAACTGAGTACATTTCTGTGTATGCAATCCAGAAAACAAGTGGTGTCCTCTGTGCACAGCTGTTCTCACAATGCCATTTCCATAAGTGTCTTGTCTTTGTTTATATTTTAAGCATAAAATATTGTTTTGGTGTGTAACTAATTCTCAGTTCTGGCTTGTTAGCTTCTTGAGCCTGCTCAGTAATTGCAAGGTTAGGGTTTTCCGTATTTGTAATCAATATGTTAGAAGTTTGGATCATGAGAATTAGCTGTGGCAGTGATTGAGACATCAGACACGTTTCACTTGCGTACTGTTCCCGAGTGCTGCTGTTACAAGTGAACTTGCATAAGCAAAGCTGCCTTTTTTCTTCTGGATTTTGTTTATAGTGTGGTGACTTGCTTAGAGAAGGTTAGAGCTGTGTTAGGTTTGATGTCATATGCAATAAACTGAATTCTCCAAAGATCATGCAGCCTAACTAGGAGGTGCAACATCAATTAAGCCGATCTGTCCTGCCACTGCAGCCTCCTTGGACAAGTTTTCCTTAGTTGTGCAGCTTGTTTTAGGGTGACTGTATGTTTTTGTTTATTTTTCTTAAGGAAAGCTAATAGCAAGGGTGGCAATTTGTGGCAGTTCTAGGTAGTTCATGTAGCTTAGGCTCAAGAAGCTAACTTGTTCAATTGTACTATATAAACTAAAAGTTTCTGCATCCCACTTAACCCATTCCTTCTAACAAGATGAGTGCTTGTAAATGCCATGTTTTTGGTTTTATTCCTCACCTTCCCATCATTTTTTTTCTGTTTGTTGTTTTTTTTGTTTGTTTGTTTGTTTGTTTTCTTGTTTCCATCCATGTTCCAAACTAGTTTCTAAGCGACGCAAGGCTCACCTGAGACGCCTGGACCGGCGATGGACGCTGGGCGGGATAGTCAACAGGCAGCAGAGTCGAGGTGAATTGATAGCTTTCTACAGCACCAGCCCCTAAAGGTGCACCAAAAGCCATACTGCAGCTTTGGCTGTTGTTCACTGAGGTCTGCATCTTTGGCACTCTGACAGAAAGAGGTCAAAGCTCCAGAGTTCGGATGTGGATTTTGTACATGACAGCTTGAGGGTGTCTTGGAGCCAGAGTTAGGCACCCCAAGAGCTGGAGGCAAATAACGAAGGATAACTCTGCAGTCTGACTGTGCTGCTTGGGAAAGCTCACATCTGTTGTGTTTTAACTTTCAGCATATTCATACTCAGTCTTTCCTACCTCAATAAGGACAAATGATACTTTCAGAGCTATTAAAATGAGAAGAATGCCAAAAAGCCATGGTCACAGATGCGTGCACTGGAAGAGTACTTGGTGTGAAAAGATGAGAATCATCCCAGTTTCAGTCCCCTCTCTTCCTTGCAAGCAGTGCTTGATACTAAAGACAGATTTTTTCATAACTTTTGGGACCTTCTGCTCTCAGTCCTAGGTGTTTAAAATACCACCAGTAGCAGCACTTTTTTTTTTTTTTTTGAGCTTTGCTTCTCTGGCAGGGAGCATGGCTGGGTGGGAAGGCAACACCTTGTGTTCTGAAGCTGTGTTTGGGTAAAGTCTGAGGAATCTTCCAAACCCAGCATTTCTCCAGTGCATGTGAGTCATCTTTCCCAGAGTAAAGGTAACCTCTTTCTATCTCCTTCTCCCCTTTTTGTGAGATCGTCCCGATGTGGTATTCATTGCACTTTAAAAGAGGTGGGGGAACACACCATGTGCACCTTTGTAGCTTTCAGACAATGTTATGAAGGGATGGAACCAAATGTAAGCACGAGAGATGCTTCACAGTTGTGGAAAAGGTGCCTTTTCCTGCTAAGGAGAGAATGTACTTTTAAAGTAGCAAATTTATCTTCTCCTGGATTTGGTGGCAGTTCTATGTGCAGAGTTGTGGGTGTCAAGCACATTCTACTTTCCAGTGGCCTTCTATCTTTGCCTCAAAGTGTTATTGAGGAAACCAAAATAACAAGGGGGGGTGTTCTTTCTACTGCTTGACCCCGCAGCAACTGGAACTACCCTTGGAAGACAAGGTCTTGCTTCTCAGCCCCCAAATGCACCGAAGGCAGCAAAAAAAACCCAAAAAACCCTAAGCTCACATGCTGGCTTGTGCTTATTTCTGTACCCCAAGAGTCTGGGAGTTACTTATTTCGCATTGTCAAACTCTGACAGATACTTCCTGGTAATTTAACCGGGAGAATTTCTGGGAATCAGTTTTTTAAACAATTTGTTTAGTAGTTTAAACAAATACATCCTTTCATATTGAGCTTTGTTTGCAATATTGTATGAATAAAATAAGACTTCATGATCAGTCCCTTAGCATAGTCAACTGGTAAGACTCAAGGACCTAAGCTGCACTCCCAGGTTTTCTCTTTCCTTTATGCCCACCATCTGTGTCCACCTTCTCCAGATCTGCTCGCTGACCAGTGTCACTGTCTTCCCTGGCAGTCTTCCCCACCACAGGCTCCCCTAGTCTCTTCCATGACTGCCTTTTTCTTGCTCCATAACAGTTTCTTCCTTATTAGGCCCAAGCAATGCTGGGGTTTTGAGTGTGTTGGAGAATGTGCTTTATCTCAAGCTAAATCTCAGCACTTGAACTTGGCACAAACTGCAGCGTCTCAAGGTTTGGGGCACCCTCCATGGCTGAGCTGCTTCTGTAAGCTCTCTCCAATGCATTTCAGCCACAGCTAGCTAGGCTGGCTAAAAAGAAGCTGTTTAATGTCATCTGAAGTATAGCTTAGGGAGCTCTTACAGGTGCAGGCTGATTGGAAATAAAGTGATATTAGTACTTGAGGGGCAGGTTTGAGACAATGGCTTCATCATCTGGCATAGCTACAGCCTGTACAGACACCTACCCCTTCCAAACTGCAGTTGTTGAAAGTATGAGTCTCTCTGGGTGTCCAGCCCACTGCTCTCAAACAGATCACAGTTTATGTGAGGTCAGAAGAGATTCTTTCTCCCTTCTTCCCCTCCCATCCCAGCCCAAAAGACTTCTAACAAGGCCAAATTTGGGTGGGTTTGCACAGAAATGACAGAATGCATGAAGTGTATACGTGCACCCCACTGCCAACCTTCAAGTCCTTGCTCCAAAGCACAGAAGAACTAGAGCTGCTCAAACAGGAGGTTGCCAGAATTGTTCAACACAGGCAAAACAGCTTCCCCTCCTCCACTTGGCCTCTTTCTTGGAAATAAATTCAATTAAACATTTTGGCAGAAATTCTTCCCACCCAGCGATATTCTGCTTCAGATAGTCCCTGCTGTTGGAAGGTTTAGCTCTGAGAGTTCACTGGAGTTTAAAATCAAGCTGTAAGGGATGCTTCCCTTTATATTTGTGTTTGAGTACTGCTAATAAGCATTTATACTAACTAGGTCTATGATAGAACCAATTAAAAGCCAGAACTGAAGGAATTAAGCATTGCTTCTAAAGGCCAGGTTTTGCTAAGCGACTTGGATAGTAAAAATGCTGGAAAATCCCGAGTGCAGAAGGGAAGGGTGTTTGCTTCCCTGTTACAGACTGCCTAATAGGGGAGAATTATCAGGGGTAACGTGTCTTATTTATCTCTACCTTTTCCAAACTATTTGAAGAGGCTAAGCATCCCTGAACTTCAAATACTTGGGAGCAATGTTACCACGTCTGTGAATAGGAAACACAAAAGACAAATTATTGAATATCATGGTAGTGCTCCTTTTTTTAAAGCTGAAAAAAATCTGCGAAGAGAACAGCTGTAGTCTGTTTTTACAAAGAGAAGCAGATGACATTTGTTGCTGAACTTTTCTCTTTAAAATGCTCCGTGGTCTGCCCAGATCTAAGAGATTACATTGGTTTATGTTTCTTATGTAGCTGCAGAGCTTGGGGTTTTTTTTAGAATGTTTTAAAATGCAGTACCTTTTCTAAACTTTTGCCTGTACTTTACAAAACTCCAGTAATATAAATACAGATTGTGAGGAGAAGCCTGAGCATTTGTAGTTTTCCACAGTCCTGACACTTGTTAGAAGAGTTCATGTTCTCTTGTGGGTAAAATGCTAATTCTACACATGCATTTATTTGGAACTTCCCCTGGAAGAGGACTTAGGATTGTTTACAGACTAATTTCGTAAGCAGTCATTTGTGCTATTACAGTTTGGGAAAAGTGGGGGGTTTACACACCTGTTTTATTTGCCAGATATTTGACAAAGTTTATTGCTGCTTTAGTATTGTGCCCAATGCTTTCAACTGGAGCTGTTACAATGCAGGAAAGTACTTTAAAGTATCAACGATATAGTAACACATGGGCTGAATTTCTGACAAATGAACCTATTATTTAAGAGTAGCTGCTAGCATAAGAAATAAGCTGTTCAATAAAAGAGTTAAAATTAGAACTGGGAAACTACAGGTCTTCCTCCTGCTTGCCTAACTTACAGAGAGAGGAAGTTTGATGGGAGAAATGGATGGGGTGTAGAGGGAAGGCAGCAGTGTAACCTGCTGGTCTTGATACTTGAACCCCATCTCCTAGCCTGGGTGGGTCATTCTGCAGCCAATTTTCCAGCTGTGGAAAGAGCCCTCGATCAGTACTGGTAATCCAGCCTGGCTGGGGTGCTCATGCACTCTTACCCTCTCCAGCATCCCACCAGAGCCACTTTGCCCTCTTCAGCAGCCCCTTCATTACCTACATGACTTCTCCCTTTTTCACTCTTTTTCTCTGCTTGTCCCTGATGGTGGTGAAGTGTTTGTCACTCATAGCACAAGGCTGCTTTGCTGTGCTAAATCAAACCAGCACAGAACCGCTTCAGACTTAGTTTGTTCTTTCATTTCTTTTTTTTTTCTTTTTTTCCCTCCTCTGTGCTCCAAGGAAAGTAGTAAATGTTTATTGCCCCTTGCTGGTTAAAGAAAGAGCATGTGCAATACAGAACTGTTTAGAAGAAATGTCATTATTGTTCTTTTCTATCTGCTGGCATAAGGTTTTCTGTTACTTAGAAAGAAAGGGGGGGGGGGGGGGGGTTGGGGAAGAGAAGGACAAAGGCTGAAGAGCTTCTGTCTGCAGATGAACACATCTGATAACTGTGGACAGTTATTTTCTCTGCAGAATATTTAGACAAGTAAAACAAAGTCTATGTTAAATTAATGCGTTGCTTTCTGGAACAGCAAGACTTTTTCCAGAAGCAGGTCTGACAAAGGGGGGGTGGAGTGGAGGAGTGGGGGAGGGGGAGCGCAGACTGCTGACTGAGGGGAAAGTATTTTGAAAGAAAATTCTTCTGTGGTTTGGAAGATGTAGGGTTGAGGCTGTTGCATTTTGCTGAGAAATCGTTAATTGGCTAATTTCTAGCCCGGTTCCCCCCTATCCCCACCCCTACCAGCATATCAAACAAGGATGGAGTCACACAAAGTTGGGGGCATGTACAAACACCAGCTGAGTGAAGGAAATTACTCCCTTACTTGGTTGGCTCCTGAAGTGCTGCAGATAATTTCCACACTTATTTATGGAGTCAGAAAAGAGCAAACTTATAAAATGTAGGTGAAGGAGACATATGCGAAACGGGGTGCTCAGAACTTGGAAGCAGAAAGTATGAACACTGGCTATTTGCCTGGGAGAGATGAGGCTGATTATGCAGGGCTGGAAACGTGCATGGTATTTTAGCTGCTTAAAGGCAGGGTTCCTGTCCCAAATAGTTTACAGACTAAACAAAGAGAAGGAGATCTGTGCATCAAAGGAGCCTGGGCAAGTGGCAATTTGGCATGCATCTTATTATGACCAAAAGGTTTTTCACAGTGGAAAGTGATATTTATTTGGTATTTTTAAAAGCTTTTAGAGAAGGACTGAAACTAAGCTTGTTTGGTAAGGTAGGAAGTCAGGGTAGGTAAGGCTTATTTTAGGAAGGATTTGAGAGTTTCAGGTTATTTGATACCACTGAGGAGGGAGCCTACTCAGGCTGATGAAGCATCATGAGAAAGGCATGGGGCTGAGTGGGAAAAGATGAAAGGATTTGGAGGA